TACCAAGAATATTATTACAAGATAAATGATTTGCTTCATTGAACACATACAAGCCATATTCCCACTGAGATCAGTGACCTTTGAATGTGTATCACCAGTGATCAGTCAAATAAAAACAGTCAAAATATTTTATCAGATTTTCTCAATTTTTGCATATTTTCATACAGAACATCTTTTGTTCAAACTCAGGGATGACTTCATACTGATGAATAAGGTGACCAAGTTTGATAAAGTTTGGAATAGAATTAGTAAAGTTATTGTGCACACAATGACAAATATTAACGACGACGACGGACAAACATTTGTTCCTCAATATACCTTTCCCTTTCATCTTTGATGGTGCGGGCAGGGTAAAAATGGACGCCAACAAGGTCCCATAATGTTCAATGTATGTAACAAGTTTTAACAAAATCCATCTGTAAACAGTCGAGAAATGCTTGATTTTGATGATTTTTAGGTACAAAAATGGCCGCCATCTTCAATCAGATCAAGAAACAAATTGATGTGCATATGTATAATATATGTATGAAGTTTGAATGAATTCCATCAAGGCACGTCTAAGATACAGGTCTGGACGAACGGACACACACACTCGCGTCAATCAACAAGTCTCTGTTTTCAGAGTGCGTCCGAACGGAGACTAACAAGCAGCCTCTCGGCTGAGATAACTCCACTGTTAGCAATGCACATTTCAATTAGAGAATTGAAGATATAACGAAATGAACAAATCTGAGAAAGGTCCATCTGTAGTGCTTATACGTATATCAAAGCAATCGAACTTGCAGTTTTCACGAAATGAGCAAATCTAAGAGCTCTACCCAAGGTACATATACAGCAAGTATCAAAGCAATCAGGCTTGTAGTTTTCAAGAAGAAGTCGAAAATATACGTCGGAAAATCACTAATATGATAAGCTCTGTTTGACAAAGTTAACAGCAGAGCTAAAAAAGTTGATGGAGAAAAGAAGCACAAACAAACACATTCATTGTCGGACATCTTATTTTTATATTTGTGTTTTTTTTTCTCGCAATTTTCACAGTACATACAAGAAAAAAAATGTATATAGAACACATATTAAAGACAATCGGCCATACTTGACGAGGTAGCCCATATCATAATAATCATTATTATACACAGAAACGGCAATATTAACAAATAAAAATACATTGGCAGTTGCAATGTATTTAATTTTGGCAAAAGGAGGAACAAGCAACACAAAAAATACCAGTCTAGTTATGTTGATGAAAAAGAGTAAATATCAGAGACGATAAAAATCCAACACAATAACTTTTAAGTACAGCTTATTAATATTTTCAAACTGAATGTACATATTTGATGAGAAAGATAAAACAAAAGTTGTTTCTAGGCTGTACTAACTAATTGTACATATTTGATGAAGATAAAACAATTAGGCAGTAGGATATGCTGTATTTTTAAGGATACAAAGTTACAACACGTACAAACGCATCCTGTACATTCTATTTAAATAATATTGTTTTGATTTGAATTTCATAAAATGTTTTCAAGATCAGCTGTTGCATGTTCCCACAGGATAGACCCATTTGAAAATGCTGCACAGGTTCAAGTACATTTTAAAACTATACAAGTTCCTTATTGCAAAGCCATCTTAGATAACTCCTCTGTGCAAATACTTTTATACAGATTTGCTTTTATACAATAGTGCATTGTGGGTAAACTGCACAAAAGAATTGTTATTCTTTAATGCACATTTCACCCAGAAATAAAATTTTAAGAAAAAGCTGCACTAACAGTGTCATAATGAACAAAATATAAAAAAACAAAACAAAAAAAAACAGCACTGCAATATTTATTGTAACCTTTTTGTGTTAATTATTCGTATAAAATAGATTTGATTAACACAAAACTTCAGCAAGTAAAACGTTCTGCACCACAGTCAGCAAAAAACAAATCTGAAAAAAAAACACCATTTTGGCTGGATCTACATGCTTTTTCAATTGAATCGTTAGACAAACTTAAAAAAAAAAATTTCATCAATAATTTAAAAAAAGAAACCAAATAACTTGAAATAACCAAAAAATATAAATAATGCATAAAACTTTCAGCATAATTTTGTAAAACAAAAAATATTAGATGCAGATTATAGTTTCTAAAACAAAATAAAATACAGACCTTATATTCTAAGGAGAGTGATCACTCACCCAAATTAAGACTCAGAAAAGCTTTTTATCACCATCCTAACATTTTTGAGAAACTTCAAGTGTTGTTCCTCTAATCAGCTGCATTACTGTGTTCAGGAAAAATTTGTGTTTTATTTTTACCCGTTACCATTTCTGGTTCCTACAACCCAAAATATTATTAAACCACAATTTGTAAAAACTTCTTCATACGCATCATAAACCGTAGCAACTTATGCAAATGAGGTATACCAGGAACACCTTCCCCCCTTGATTAAGCATGTATTCCATATTGTAGACTAAGTTGGAATAGATTAATTATGAACTAAAAAATGTTGTTTGCATTTTTGTTAGATGAAAAATCAAAACCACTAATATTGCATGTACAGTGATTGTTTTGTAGGTACCGAAACAACGTGCATGCGCGTATTAGAAAAGTTCATTGTTTTATCGAACGAATATACAGACGTGCGCTACAAGAAGTGTATTCATATAATGATAAATCATAGCCCAAGGAAGTCATCAAAATACAGTATCAAACAAAACAATTTTCAAGTCCACATTGCATCTTTAAATAATGTAATACTAAAGACACTTGGCTCCTTCCACTGTCTGAGCGAATAAGACACGAGCTTCAGCACATTAATTCTTCAAACGGCACAATTTTTTTCTTCAAAATATTCTGCCAATTTTTATAATTTATGTCAATTTTGGACATATTTGCGCTACATGTTTTGATGAAAACTTGCTAAATTTGAAAGTTTCTTAATTATTAGTTTTGTTAACAAATTTCTGCTACTGTCTTTTCCTTTAAAACAACATGGTTGTCCGGGTATTAAATTTTTTGCTGTGACCAGCATTTTGCCTATCATCAAGGAAATTATGAAGCACAATGAAGATGCAAATTTGAAGTCGATGAATACAAACTTGAAATACTAACGAGAGTTTGTGAAAAAGCTGGCTGAGGTGTTCGTTTCAATTTTTTGTATGCGCACTTGCCTGTATCGCAAAACATGCATTGCTCATTTCTGTTCATGCAATCAAACCTTTCCAATCACCCACTGCATTATGGGTAAAGAATACATTTTATTGA